TAAGGAACCGAGCAGCTCTCAAACCACTGGTTTTGACCCCAGTACACAGAGACTCCCCCAGTTTGCAGACTCGCCTTCCTCGAGCCCCCAGCTCAGGGCAGGAAAGCCAGCCTGGCTGCAGCAGCACTCGCTGCTTTAACACGGTGCCTGCCCAGTCAGACGGTGTCAGGGGTCCACGAAGCGACATGAAAAAGGAAGAAAACCTTGCTTTAAATGAAACACCGGGAATCTGTGTCACCACGAAACGCTGCGGCATTGGCTACGGCAAGTTAACTGCCTGCACCAGCCCAGGGTCCCCGCTGAGCTGGGAAAAAAATGGCTTCAAATCAGCACGTCCCTACGAACAGGTCAAAGACAGCGGCAGGATGAAGAGCGATGAGCAACAGCTACGGGGAGACAACTAAAGGCTCATCACACCCAGCAGGGACAAGGAACCAGCACACGGGAGCCCCTCCTTAGGGGACACTCAAACAAGCCAAAGACACGACGCAACCCAGGAGTCGGGTCTAAAGAACGTGGATTAAGAGGGTAACGCCAAAAAATACCCCAAAAAACCCACCCAAAAATATCATTCACGTGGTTTATTTTGTACATCAGGTTTATAAATTGTTGCCATTAGGTCAAGATCTGCTGTGACAGCGACCGGAGGAAGCAGGCTGGCCAGCGACGTCAAATTTCTTCACAACCACGCAGTCGACACGGTTGATGGGAGAGAAGGGGCGGGGGGGGGACGGACACACCCCAGCCTGCTGCAGGAGCTGCGCCGGGCACCCCGAGTTCACCTCGGAGCAGGGGCTCAGCGGACGGACGGCTCCGAAACGCTCCATCCAGCCACACAATCCCTACAACAAACACAAAGCCGGCGTTAAGCAGCGGTTCCTTCCGAAGCCTCCAGCAGCTGGACCAGGAGTTTCTCTGCGAGGAGCCGAGAGGGCACAGGAGGAGGCCTGGAGCCCCTCGGGAGGGAGCCCAGGCCACCGCAGAAACCCCCTCTTCATTCCTCTTGCTGGGTGATTTATGCACAACGACACATCAAAGCTCTTGCCTCACAACAGAGACCAGACGCTGCGGTCTCAGGAACGTCTCCACGTTCCTCCTCCCGGCTGATTTTTAAGCCCGGAAAGGCCTTATTAGGTAATTTATTGCCTCTACGTGGCTGGAGAGCTTTTCCACTTGCTTTCTGTAAACCTCTACGAGCACCCAAGGTGCTGTGAGCGCAGCTGACTTCCATGGAAAGTTTCTCTCATCCTTCACACAGACGATCTGGGTGATATTTTGGAAAAGGGGAAGGCACAGTAAATTGTTGGAACCGCAACAAGTATCTCTGGAAAAAGAGACTTAAAAATACCAACGATTTGCTCTGTGACTTCCAGACTCGCTGATCTCCCTGTGTAGCTCGAAGGCAAGTATCTTACTTTCATTTATCAACATCTCAAGCCAAGTTATTCTGACGGAAGACAAGTACTGAGGTGTGTACAGTTCCCTCCAGACCTTTTCCCGTCAGCAGCCTGTAATGGAAGGCAAAAAATCTGCCCAAGTCCCTTCTTTCTGCAGCGAGGAATAAAAAAGCCCTCAGCTGCCCACGACACACGTTGAGGCGCCCCATCTAGTCGCTGCTCCAGCTTCACGGACGGGCCAGCTCACGGGAGGTTCAGAGCAGCACGTTTCATACGCAATTAAAGCAGGAAAAAAAACCCCAAACCCAAAACTTGAGAAAGCCAATTTTCCCGTGAATTTGTGGTACACAGTGACCAGCCCTGAACCCTCAACTTGCAGTAAGTTACAGGGAGCAGGAAGGAGCCTGAACTGGCCCAGCAACAAAACCAGTCACGAGCTTGACGCCGTTCTACCTGGGAATGGAAGTGAACAGATCGGTCAAAAGTTCCAAATTACCCCAGGAGGCTTGACTTGACTTCCCAAGGGCCCCATCACATCGTGAAAAATCCACTGCTGGCAAAATAAGAACTTGAAAAACATATTCTTACTCATGTCTGACCCTCCTGGCACTCTCTGAAGCCCCATATTAAACAAAAAAAAGTCCTGAATAATCAAATTTTGGACCAATAATACGATTGTGCCCTGGGCAAACAGGACACATCCACTGTCTGGCAGCACAACGCCGCTCCTTCAGCCAAGAGAGGCACAACCAGAACTTACCGTCAGAGGGAAGCTTAGTCTTCAGTGTTATACTTGCCACCGATGTAGGGAACATATTGAAGGACCAACTTCCAGTCTGTGAGCCATATTAAACCAGTCCCAGCTACACCACCCCACGTCACGAGGGTGGGAGTCCTAAAGAGGAGACACACACGCACAGGCAAATAACGTTAATTCCCCACGCGGGAAGGTCTGGCAAGTGCTCATCGCTGAGGACCCGGCAAAAGTCATTTCCATCGTGGCAAAAGCTCGGCAGAAATCTCGAAAGAGCCTCACGTACACGGGACAGTGTCAGTCCCCGGGGTATTTACAGGAAAAGGGGGACATTTCACTGCTGCAGCTCGTGTCCCCGCTAGTCCGGCCCGCGGGCTGCTCCACTCCCCGCACACAACCCCACAAGGCGTCATCCCCTGACACCGCGACTGACACCCCCAGCTCTGAAACACTCCGAGGGCAGGCAGGGCGATCCGGGGGCCAAAGCCACCTCGGCCGAACCACCGCCAGACAGACAGACGCACAGACAGACGCACAGACAGACACCCCCGCCCCCTCCGCCCTTCAAACCCAGCCCTAGCGCCGCTCCGCA